CATTTTTTTGAAAAAACTTATGGGTGCCACAGTAATCAACCAATGGCTTCAATTACCTTTAAAGCCACACACACAGGCAGGTCAGCTAAGTACACAAAAGTTGGCATGTTTTGTTGTAACCTTCCCTCTTAATGGCAGCCCTGCAGACAGAGCACGCTTGTTAGTGGTGGAAAGCAGGAGAATGCGACCAGATTGAGTTAGATTTACCAGATATGTGCAGGGTATTGCACAAATCCCTCCTTTGGCCCCCCCGTCCTCTTCTCCGTAAATCTTAGCATTCCAACATGTCCCAGATGTTTTTTTGCATCTCTTCTTTTTGCTGTTACACTGGCCTCCCTTTTCTTCGGTCTCCCCTCTCCGTTCAACTACCACACCCATGGCAGGTAAACAACCCTGACTCAGTAAAACAACAATGTTTAATTTTTACGCAGGGCGCCGATTTCATATGCAAGCCTCAATTATATTCTTGGTCACCTGGGGATTAGGGCTTGCTTTATGTTCCTTTTTTTTATGTTGCTTAGAGTTTCCAAATACAGGTTGAGTCACCTGTTTTTCAGAAAAGTACTCCAGACACTGAGCGTGCCTTTCGTCTAGTATGGGAAAAGGATAAAGCCTTTGTATGCTTTTAATAGACCACATACAGTAATCCAGAACAAACACATAGATGAATTTTTTATGGCCGCTTGGTCAGCTTCAATTTTCCAGAAATCAAAGCTGAATGAGACGCTCTGACTGGACTCTGTGGCTATTGACTGGGACCAGGCAGGGACACACTGGTCTGTCAACCGGCGAGTGGTCTCTACCGTTGTGAAGTGAGCTGCCCCGTCAAACTTAAGCGCCCCGTGAGCCCTGCAAATCATACCCTGGTCAACCGTTAGCAGAGGCCTGACAGCTGATTGGGGCTGACGAGTTCAGGGGGTTAAGTAGACATGGCCTCTGCGCTGCCCCGGGGTTCACTCTTGCACTTCCCTTTCTCTCACATTGTTGGCCATCAGACACGGACAATTGTTGCACAGGGCATGTGGTACACTCAAGGGGCTGACCAGGTTGCTGGGTCATAGCGGCTTTTTAAACAATCACATGATGTTTACACACAAAGGACACATGGGTTTCCTACGGGGGGAGGAAGTGCCTTTGACTGCCGGACTTGAAGCTGTCAGTTTTACTTTTTTGGGGATGAGATTATGCTTTGTGGTATTCAAGTTCTCTTTACGCGTTTCCAAGCATTCAGTGTCAGTGCTAAAATGGATGAGAGGCCTTGCAATGGTGTTGAATGGGAACAGAAAAAAACTGGGGTTGTGTAGAGAACACGTACTTCCCACCCTGAATCGCCATTGTTAAGACACACAACACGAAAGGGAAAGTCATTCAAATAGCCGCTCAGTTGTGCTGCCCAGGAATTTGCTTTTCCATTTTACACCTTCCGATGAACACAAAAGGCCATCTTTGTACCTGGGCCCTGAATAATTTTTTACTGGTTTCCTGGGCTGTCCCCATTCAGCTTTTCAAAGGCATGCAAATGGATGACGGCAGCACATAATGCCGGCATCCAAATTCACTTCATGATGACTGGCTCATTAGGCCTTCTGTTTCTGCATAGCTTTGTCTGCCAAAGAGATTACTGTAACATCAGCGGGTTACAGTATCCCCACCTAAGCCTCTGGCGGTTTCACAGCCCAAATTTGACCGCTGGTTTCGTCCTCACTTTCTCATGACATGCATACTTTAGGTGGAATTACATGAGCGAGCCAACTGGACAAATGCGCACAGCTCTGTATGTTGCATGGATCACTACCTGATTGAATAAATTAAAAAAAAAGCAGTTCTGTGCAATATATGGTGAGAAAATCAGATTTTTGGCACATTTATATTTAGACATAGTGACATGGATAGACAAACTGCGCAATTGCACACACATACAATGAAAGGACACCGAAATTGAAAGTGGAGTACTCACAGTTCTCAGAGTGGAAATCAGGAACAAATTGCTCATCGCTGTCAGGGACCTGAGCTGAAATAAGAAGAAACAAAAGAGCAAGCATAACTTAAAACATTATTATTACATTTTAGACCAACTCTGACCTTTCTATGTCTCTAATTTCCTTCCTCATTATGTCTTTTTCTTCTTTCAAGTGACCTTCACTTCATGATTTTTGCAGCAAAAGGCCAGCACTTTGCTCACCCATAGACTCAATACACAAGAACACGGAGCACCTGAATGGCATCAAAGATGTTAACCTGCCAGCCTGGTTTTGTGTAGAGACCCAAAGTGTTCAATATTCAATTCAATTAATACATTTGAATTTTTTTTAAGCTCTTGCTTTCTTTCACAATAAAATAGTTTACTGCCAGTCCTTAAATACAGCAGTTTTTTTTCTCCAAAATGTCCTTTTTCTATATTTCACAACCCAATTTTCCCCAATGACCGTTTTATTTCACAACAATGCTTTTCATCACAAATTCTTTTGCAATTAAATGAAATCAGAGACTGACAGTTGATTCAGTCCTTACGGTCAGAAAGCTAAGTTGTAGTAGTAATCCCACAGGTCCATTAATACATCCTATTTTAGAGTTTCTGACAACTCAAACTAGTCAGCTATCTGTACACCCACGGTCAAGTTTGTACCCCCAGCTGTTAACCAGTTTCTTCCTATTTCCATTGTAGAAAGCCAGACAGACTAAACAGGCTGTTCTGGCTAAACAAGTGAGGAAATTTGTCAAGCGCTGTGACGAATCAGCTATTCAGATTCAACTTCTCTTCGTACCAAAAGGTTCAGGGACTCTTGTCTAACAATCTAAAAGTAGTCTGGATTTCATCTTATTCGAGCAATCGAGAACAAGGAAAGCAGCCTCAAATCAAGAGGAGGAGTGGGGAAGTGAAACAAGAGCAAGTTAAGGTTAAAGCAATTCTTAGATCTCCTTGTGAAATGGCCACAATCAGTGGTGAATTAGTGGGTTTTCTACAGCTATACTAATATTCGATCACACTACTTAAAAGTCAATATATCCGCTTATATAAATCGCTGTGATGCACAAATGTAAGTGTGACAGAGACAACATACAGCCAGCTTACAATGATTTGTAAAAATAGACGAGTCAATATAGTGATATGGTGTGTGATATCTTGATCTGACACATAATGACCTGCAGTGGTGTACAATTTCAGTGGCCCTGATATCTCTCATAACAAAACTCATTTAGGATGCAACTGAAAAAGCACAATCAGTAATGCCAAGCCCAGGTGCAGCAGAGCTAGACAGACACTATTGTACAGCCCTTTTTTTAGGAATCCAAAACCATTCACACTTGTCCTTTTGGAGCTTTGGACACTGAGTCACACAAGCAGGTTAGAAAAGCCCAAATCATTTGACTGCCAACACCGTACAAGGGGTGAGGAGGTCAAATTCACCCGCTGAGCCGTGAGCATTTTGTCCACCTATCCTCGAATTAACGACCTAACCCTAAAATGTAGAGCAGAAACAGGGCTAGCAACCTTTTAATCTGGCACCACTCCAGCCCCACAAGTTGCTGGGGTTTTTAAAGTGTTTCCACTGCTTTGGACCCGCACTTACGTCATGGTACAGGCTAACTGGTAGGGAAAAGTTGATGGGTATCATTAAATATCATGAACTCAATCACGGGCGTAATGGGCTGCAAAACAAAGTGGCACCATGTTGTGTGTAGTTTCACACCACCTGTTCACAAAAGTGGACAAAGCAGCCCCCGTTTTATAAATAATAAAACTACCACGTCGACTCATCTCTGTATTTTTTCCCTAAAAGCAGACATTATAGGATCGACTGTGACTCGTGACAAAAGGATGTGATTGTACTCTAACCCAAGAACCTAAATCTGACCCAGCATTCAACCTCAACCTCAATTCAACCTCAATGCCTCTTCTCTCTCACTTCATCTGCCATTTACGGTTTCCAGACAGTGATTCACAACACAGAAACACAAACTCAACAGAGACAGAGAAAGAGAAACAGAGACAGAGGACAAAAAGAGGAAATAAGAAATTTAAATCCACTTTCTTGTCGTCACACTCCTCCTTCCTGTACAGAGGAAACCGGATGACAGCGTTTTGGAGCATGTTCAGATAAATGACATCGATTTCTTATACAATGGCGCATCCTGTGGCCTACTATACCATAATAATATTACCCCCTTTTAACTTTTCAGTGGTTCGCCCTGAGGGGGGAGAAATAAAGCTGCTGTATGAGACAGAGCAGCAGCCGATATTTAGTTCGCAGATCCAACAATCAATCATTTCCACTTGTTTCAACATGTCCAAAACGGAACATGCTGGACCTCATAAAGAGGCAGGAGAAGAGAAACACGGATGATGAGCATCAGACATTATCGCAAACGCTGCTGCGTGCTTGCGTCTGTTCACTTTCCTGTGTGTATGTGAGCGCTTGCATGTGTATCTGATTTGTTTCCAGGAACACCTCGTCAGGGGCTTTGAGATGCAAGTCAGCACAAGAAAGAAAGTGTGTTTATACGAGCGCAGACGTTCTCCCCGATGCTTCCAGGCACCTTGAATGACTTTTTTTTTTCTCTCAGTGGGAGATCCTGGGAGGAGCTAAGCAGCTTCAGTCATATAAACCTAAAGGCCAAAATGAGACAAGATGTGACAAGTTCCTGAACTCTTGCCATTCAGTGCTTCACCCTTTCTGTCTCTCCTCTTGCTTCCGCTCTCCTTTGGCGGAAAAAAAACAAAAAAACTCCCTCCAGCTATACCCAGCTTTTACAATCTTGGTGAATCCCTCACAACTGCAATCAGTCATGATAAGGTCTTTAATTAATGCAACAGGAAAGGAGAGGTCTAAGCCGGGGAAGCTGAAAACAAGCCAGTACTTAGGGTTAAATAACACTTTGATATAGTTACACTTCCATCTTTCTGTCCAGCTTTTTTTTTTTTGCTTTGTTCGTTCAGTGACTCAACAATAAGCTGCCACCCAATTTGTAAATTTAGAACATGAAATAACGGCTCCTGTTAAAAGGTTTGGTTCACTAAAATTATAAAAAAAACAACATACTGTCTCATTTACCACAGTGGTGTCTAGCCATGCAGATAGCTTTGGTTTAATTTGCAAAGGTTTTGTGGTTTAACTGTCTGTGATTTCTGTCATCACCTCAGTACAATTCAATTCAATTCAAT